CTGAGAGCATATAAACGGAAAAAATCACCGCATTACCAATTTCATCAAAAGAAAGGCTTCAAAATGGCTCAATCATGAAAATGAAAGAAGAGAGACATTCCTAACGATAACAAACTCTCTTTTTCTTTCCACCAAGAGTTATACTAGATTTCAACAGTGAATACTGAAGATGAAAGGTGCTTCGTCTATAGCACTTGGCTATTTGTCCTTATTGCTCTAAATGAGATACCTTCATTAAGAGAATTACCTCAGATAAAAACGCTTCGGTCCATACGTGTCAGTCCCTCCCAGATGTTTATGAAATAACGTTGAAGTCAACAGCGACAATGTTTCACATACAGAATGCGCAACCATTACAGTCATTTTGACCTTTTCAGAGCATATCCTTTGCGAGGACAGAGTATATTTTTTAAGATGTTAAAAAGCGGTGAATAACTTTTTGTTTTTCACTTGTTTGTGACATCGTAATATTCCAAGATTCAGTAAATTGCTCTATTTTGGTATTCATATTGAAAACTGAAATACGCATAAAAATCATTTAATTATACACGAAGCAATCGAATAACTTGGTCAATTAGACGATTACAATATTTTCTAGACCTTTTCACACGAATCAGAAAAGATGACGTCTCCTATGGTTAGACTGAACGGGCACCATTAAAGAAAGAAACTGGCTGAACAGACGAATCACACAAGACTTAATTATCCAATCTTCTGAAGATGTCATCCAATAAGGATACGAACTCTAGTGGATTCGAAAAACCTTATCAAACGAGTGACTCCAGAAAACCACTTAACCAGCAGCATGGGTAGCACTCCTTCAGCTCCAGATGTCACAACAACTGCAGGCCACGCAACCACAAAAGTGCAGAAACCAAGCCGCACAACTTTAAAGAAGGCTGGAGAGTGGAAAACCGGAACGTTGGTCTGTTGAATCATCTGACTAACTTGTTCCCTTGCGCTGTGCATAAATAAACCGTTTCTATGCATTTCTTCGTTTTCATAAATATAATATTAATGTATAACATGCATAGTGACAGTTTTCGAAGAGTGAGTACTTCGTTCGGCGTTGGCGGTCACACTGAAAATTTAGTACATTTATACAAAACGAAAACAATCTGGTCAATCGGGTGACTGACAAGTACCAAAGATTCAGTCCATGTCTTACGGTAGAGAAGTGGGTTAGATTCAGAAGCCCCTTCTGTACTCTGGCGCCAAAACGCATTAACAGTCTGCGGTTTTGTCTTCTGCTAAAAGGCCCTCGGTTTGTGTCAAACCGCTGCGAACGATAAAAAGTACTTCAGAAGTCGACCTCTCTACCTTAAAGGAGAGCCGCGAAACAAGGGCCGAAGCTTTGACAGTGATCAATCGTCCAGCTGATAAAAATCGTTTAAACTGTGCATAAATAAACAATCTTCGTTGTTGTTTACATTAAGAAATTTAAAATATAACAGAACTTGTTAAGGTATAGGAAAGTCTCAGGGAATAGCAAACTTTAAGATCCAAGAAGAGCAATGTGGCTTCAGGCCAGCCCAAAGCACCTCTGACTAGAGGTTCGCCTTATGCCAGATTATTGCGGAAGTTTGCTCATTCAACTTACAAGTCCACTGCTGACGCGGAGAAAGTCTATGACCAGATTCCGCGCAACAAGTTGTGGGCATACCTGCGAATATATGGGACCACTGGCCAGTTGTTATGGGCCATCCAAACACTATATGTTGATAGCAGGTGCTGCGCCAGAGTTAATGGCGTTAAGTCGAAAACATTCAACGATCGCAATGGTCTCCGCCAAGGCTGCGTCCTGTCCCCTATCCTGTTTGTGTTGTACATGGATAGAATAGTC